CTATATCATAATCCTAAGAACTAATTAATATACTTGATATATCATACTCGTACCTATGTACTCGACGCCACACTACAACGCTACCTCTCCAACTCGATCTAGTATCCCTGGATAAGTCTATACAGTCTACCTACTAGTAACCAACTCACTCTATCACCCAACCCTACTCTACTCTACACTACACTACACTACTCTACTCTACTCTACTCTACTCTACACTACTCTACTCTACTCTACACTACTCTACTCTACTCTACTCTACTCTACTCTACTCTACTCTACTCTACCCTACTCTACTCTACTCTACTCTACTCTACTCTACTCTACTCTGCACTACACTACACTACACTACTCTACACTACACTACTCTACTCTACTCTACTCTACTCTACTCTACACTACACTACACTACTCTACTCTACTCTACTCTACTCTACACTACTCTACACTACTCTACTCTACTCTACTCTACACTACTCTACTCTACTCTACACTACTCTACTCTACCCTACCCTACTCTACTCTACTCTACTCTACTCTACTCTACTCTACTCTGCACTACACTACACTACACTACTCTACACTACACTACTCTACTCTACTCTACTCTACACTACTCTACACTACACTACTTCACTCTACTCTACACTACTCTACTCTACTCTACTCTACACTACACTACACTACACTACACTACACTACACTACTCTACTCTACTCTACTCTACTCTACTCTACTCTACTCTACCCTACCCTACCCTACCCTACCCTACTCTACTCTGATTGAGTGTTTCCTGGTCCTGTGTAACCAGTCCCAGGTCCTTCTTTAGTCCCTCTTGGTCCTGGTTCTATCCAGGCCGAGCTGGTTCTAAAGTGTTCTAACTGACAGTGATTGGCCAGAGAGCTGCTGGAAGCCGTGGTTACCAAGGAATTTCTACAGATACTGTAGGATGGAATGTCTGCCCCGCTGGCAGCCTGCCCTACATCTATAAAAAGATTCCAGCTCGTCCAAAATACAGTAGCAAAAAGAACACACAATCTGTCATCACTCTTATCTTAACACATGTGTTTAGTAGTAGGGGAAACCTATGCACAGGGAGAACATGCAAACTCCATTCAGATAGACCTACAGCCTCAGTTCTGGGTCTTCAGTCCTGGGTCTATACAGCCTCAGTCCTGGGTCTACAGCCTCAGTCCTGGGTCTATACAGCCTCAGTCCTGGGTCTACAGCCTCAGTCCTAGGTCTACAACCTCAGTCCTGGGTCTATACAGCCTCAGTCCTGGGTCTACAGCCTCAGTCCTGGGTCTACAGCCTCAGTCCTGGGTCTACAGCCTCAGTCCTGGGTCTACAGCCTCAGTCCTGGGTCTACAGCCTCAGTCCTGGGTCTACAGCCTCAGTCCTGGGTCTATACAGCCTCAGTCCTGGGTCTACAGTCTCAGTCCTGGGTCTACAGTCTCAGTCCTGGGTCTACAGCCTCAGTCCTCAGAAAAAATTGATGAAATATATCTATGATTAATATATATAATATAAAAGTAGGATAAAACTTGAAATCAGTTAACTGTGTAAAACTAGTAAAATACTGAATGAAAACATTTGTTTTCTCTGATGTTATGAACACACTATTGTCAGGTTTATAAAGTCTCGATGCCGCAGCTGAACAGTAGGTGGCGCTGCTGAACAGTAGGTGGCGCTGCTGAACAGTAGGTGCCGCAGCTGAACAGTAGGTGCCGCAGCTGAGACTTTGTGAATGTGTAAAGCACTTTTCTAGTTAAATATTGTCTCAGAAAAACAAGTGTTGGACTAAAAAAGAAGTCTGCGTCTGCTCTGTTCGTCCCTCAGAGGACATTTCAAGGTCATAGCAGAATAAAAGCAGAAGCAGCAGGTTCTACACAAACAGAAACAATAAGATATAAAGTTTATAATGTCACTGGTGCAGTGCTCTCTGTCGCCAGCAGGAGGCGTTTCCTGATGTCTCTATTGTTGTTAACGGCAGAGAATAAACAACAGTAAGCAGCAGGTGAAGTGACAGCAGTTCTCATTGTACAGTCTGACAGCAGTCCTGGGGATGTTTATAGTCACAGGAACATTTCAGAGTCTGCTCCTGGTTCAGTTTTGTACAAATCTATTACATTCTTTGTAAAACTTTGTAAATAATTTATAAAATCTAGTGTAAAAAGGTGAACGGCTGATCGCGCATGCGCAGTCCTGTGTGTGACACGCAGCCCCTCCCTCCCCTCCCTCTCCCTCCCTCCTCCCCTCCCTCTCCCTCCTCCCCTCCCTCTCCCTCCTCCCCTCCCCTCTCCCTCCCTCCCTCCCCTCCCTCCCCCCTCCTCCCTCCCTCCCTCCTCCCTCTCCCTCCCCTCCCTCCCCCCCTCCCCCCTCCCCCCTCCTCCCTCCCTCCCTCCCTCCCTCCCTCTCCCTCTCCCTCCCCCCTCCCTCCCTCCCCTCCCTCCCTCCCTCCCCCCCTCCCCCCCCCCCCTCCCTCCCTCCCTCCCTCCCC